TCCTGCTCGTCTGGAACCTGGAGTAGCTCCGGCTCCGGCTCAGGGAGCGGCTAAAGCTGCTGTACCAGGAGGAATAGCTGCTGGCGCTGCTGGAAGAGGAGGGACTGGGACGGTAGTAGGGGATGGGACGTTTGCGGGCACTGTGGGGACAGAGAGACGTGGGTTACCAGCAATACAAGGACAGATTTACTGCCAAAATGTCCAAATAGCTTGTTTACCCTGCACAACACTCCCCAAAAACGTGATTGTGTTTGTTTAAAAGAAAAAAAAAGGAAGAGATCAGGTAGCTGACAGGCCTTGGGATTCAAACCACCCACCCCTAGGCTCCTGGGGAATGTCCCGAGCACCAAGTCTGAGGCCAGGCTCTGCTTGACACTGTCCCAAAGAGCCCTCAGCGTGAAGGTGAGAGTCAATATTTGACTCTCTCTACAGTGTGGGACATCTACCACAGGAGAGAGTGAAACAAAACACCTGGGGGGAGATGCTCCTGCCGGCTGAGCCCCTGCCCTGACTTCCTCGGCTGTTTTTCTTCAGCTGTTGTAAACGAGGCCCTCCCCTCCATCCTCCCTCTGCCTCTAGCTGGAAATCCCCAAGCTCTAGGATGGGCGGAAGGGCCTGCTGATCAGGCTCGGGGAAACTGGTCTCCTCCTGGAGCAACCGTGGGACCGCATCCCCTTACCTTGTGATGCGCCGAGCTTCGAGGTGGCTGGGAGAGTCTCTCCTGCGTTTCCTTAGGGGGGAATACGAGCGCCGCCGCCGCTGCCGCTCACGCTCCCTGTGCGACTCCTTCTCACTGGAGCTGTACTTGTGCTCACGGTCTCTGGGGAAGGCACAGATGGAAACTGTCACTGCTGGGTTTTTGTGGGGTGGGTTTAGGATGTGGAGGCAATGACCCACGAAGGCACAGGTGAGGGGAGGATGCTGCACTCCAAAAGGGACCACTCTAAGCAGAGTGCTCTGGTGGCATCGGCCGTGCGCACACTGACTCAGCTGGACAGAGAGACACTAATCTGGCTGGACAGATGGACACCCACAAATTGTGTCGGGGGGGGTCTCGGCAGTGTCTCCTGGTGGCCCCACGCTGCCGAGCTAAGACAGCTTCCATGTACCCGTGTCTGTGGATGCACTCCGTATTTAGCTCTACTAAAACTGCCCGTGCTGGCTGTGCTGCGGGAGCAGGCAAGAACAACACCAGCAGCAGGCCCCACGTCAGCGGAGGGCCCCCAGTATCCCTGCAGGGCTGCGCAGCTCTGCACCGCGCGCCAGGAGGAGTGCCGGAGTTGCTATGGCTTTCTCTTTTGTTAAATTCCCGTACACGTCAGCACAGGCCCTTCCATGGGGTGTAGCTGACTTCATACGCCCTGCTCGATGCCATCTGCAAAGCAACACGTTACAGGTCAAGGGCCTGATCGTTGCACGCAGGAAGTGTTTTCTTACAGCAGCGCAGGGATTCTCACAGCCTGCAAGAATCAGACCCTGGGAACGTAATATTTTAAGGGTGCAAAATGTTCTCAGCAGCAGAGACGTTACCAGAAAAACCCACCCAAAGGCATCTCTAGGGCTGAGCTGTGTGTTTTCTATAGAGTGTAGAGGGAACAGATTTGCTGGACTGTGCTTCCCTCTGCAAGGCTGTGTGAGTGCCAGCACGAGGGTACCTGGCATCTGCCCATGCAGCAGGGGCACTTCCGAGGGCCTGACCACTCTTTGGCAGAGCCCTCATGCTGAAAAGCGGAGTGTCTTTCCCGACTGCGGTAAGATGCCTCTGACAAGGGCTGCTGGCTGGTGCTGGCTCCTCGGGCGATGAAAGCCGTGGGCAGACCCAACCGGAGCCTAACGCTCTGCCCACTGTTTACACCAGCGCAATAGAGAGGGGCACTCCCCAGGTTTTCCTACGAGGCATCTCCCACTCACATGAGGCCCTGGCAAACACCACCGAGCAGCCATCTGTGCACTCTTGGCTGCATAGCGTGCTCCCCCGCAGGGGCTCAGAGCGGAGGAACAGCCGCTTCACCTGCCACACACTCTGAGTGTGAGATACCACCATGCTTCAAAGCCAGGGATAAACCAAGTCTCCTTTCCAGCAACCTACCCCCAAAAGGCCTTGGTGTGAAGTTCACCTGAATCAGCGCGGGACAGTCCTTGGCTACAGAAAATCCACTTTTCCCACAAAAAGTGAAAGGCTCATCTCTGGGCTCTCCCCTCTTCAACCCGCACCAGCTCTGGGGTAATAAATGGTGAGAAATTTCCACCGGACTGAGGGCCAACTGGCATACTGCCATAAGGGAAGCTGAGGAAGTGTGGGCTGGATGAGTGGTCGGTGAAGTGGATAGAGAACTGGCTGAATGGCAGAACTCAGAGGGTTGTCATCAGCGGCGCTGAGTCTAGTTGGAGGCTGGTAACAAGTGGTGTCCCCCAGGGGTCAGTACTGGGCCCAGTCTTGTTTAACTTCTTCATCAACAACCTGGATGAAAAGTTAGAATGTAGCCTCAGCAGGTTTGCTGATGACACCAAACTGGGTGGTGTGGTAGACACACCGGAAGGCTGTGCTGCCATTCAGCGTGACCTGGATAGGCTGGAAAGCTGGGCAG